GCATCGGGGACGCCATATTTTCGTCGTTTATGCCTTCTCCCACTTACGATACCGATTTCCCCTAAATAATTGCTGTATCAGATCTGTATATGGCACTTTAAAGCCTCAAGCTACCACTAGCATCCCCTTCATATATAAGTCCTACGGTGTAGTAGCTAGTTCGACAGAACATTTGAGCACCCGCTAATGGTCGTGCGGGCGACATCATGGCGCTGACCACTGTTACTGTAGCCGTAGAATCGAAAATAAAAGTCCGAATCAGAAATTGAAAGTAACCGTTCAGCCTTAACAACTCGCCTCCAAAAACTGGCAAATACCCAAATTCAGTCAAATTAAAGATAATTTTGACGTTAGACGGATGTCAAAATTCCTGTTTTATTAAAGGTGACAGAACAGTCCGCTGTTGTCATCTCTCAGTCCTTTAAACACACACGGACCTGTTTCAGCGACGGCACCTTCTTAGGCGCACCTAACTTAAAATACGGTCGTTTGAACGTGAGCAAGCAACCGTTTTGTAATTACGCTCTTACTTATGTCCTAAGGGCACTCCAATGGATCGACCAACTGTTCAATAGGTGTCTCCCGCAAGTCCGCGAACCTCCTCCCTATTTTACCATGCCTGTCAAAAAACACCCATGGCGTTTTGTAAAACCAGCACGAATATCCATAATTTTACTGTACATAGAAAGAAAACTTATTAAGGTCCACGTTGCACAAGGTAGATAGCATATGAACTTGCGCCTACCATCACTGTCACGACAGATGACACAAAAACATCTATGAGAATAAGTCATTGAACAAAAATTGACCGCTTCTATGCATATACATAAGACAATTTCTGAAAGATACACAATGACTCAATCAGCTGACTACATAGGTTGACATGGAAAAAGTGCAAATTGCGACAGCAAAAATACACACCGGTCGCAAAGCCACCGAAGGTGGGAACGTGATTGGCGTCCGAACAAACGCAGATACTTACAGAAAAGGCACTGAAATACTAAGCCCGCCCAGTAACTTTGGCCTTGAATAGGCACAGGTGGTTGTTTTTCTGTGCTACTGGATTGGTTGTCATAAGACTTGAGTAAACATCTTGCAAAAGAACGTTTTCAGAATGATCCTATCCCGGATGAAACCGTCTTCCCAAATTCAAAATAAAATAAGCTCCGAAAATGCCCAAAAGAAAAAGGAGTTTCCCGATCTGGAAGATTTCTTAAGCGCAAGGGATTTTACAGGAGCTCTTACGTTGCTTGAATTCAAGCGTCATAGCTCTGAACCTAATCAACAAACGGATTTATGGATAGCCTACTGTGCATTTCATCTTGGAGACTATAAAAAGGCGGCTGAAGAATACAAGAAATTACTTTCGGACTCCAAAATAGCTCCAACGGTGTCAATATATCTGGCCTGTTGCTATTTCTTCCTTGGAATGTATAAGGAAGCCCAGAAGGCAGCGAACGCGGGCCTACAATGTGGACTTCAAAATCGCCTCTTATTTCACCTAGCACATAAATTAAATGATGAGCGTTTATTGCTTACGTATCACAATTCCCTTTGTGATGTTTTGGAGGATCAGCTGTGTCTTTCGTCCATTCACTGTTTGCGGAATCACCATCAGGAGGCGATTGATATATACAAACGAATTATGCTTGATAATAGGGAATTTCTCGCGTTGAATGTGTACCTTGGCCTTTGTTACTACAAGATTGATTATTACGATGTTTCACAGGAAGTTCTTGGACTATATCTTCAACACAATCCTGACAGTGCAACGGCTGTCAACCTGAAGGCCTGCATCAATTACAGACTTTATAATGGCAAAATAGCAGAAGCCGAGTTGAAGGCTCTGCAAGAGTCATCGTCACAGTCTTTTACCTATGCGAAAGACTTGATCCAGCACAATCTTGTTGTATTTCGAAATGGGGAAGGAGCACTGCAAGTACGTTTTCTAATAACATTATGATCTGGATTTATTTTTGTTGGATTAATGGATCTTTCAAATTTGGTAACAGTTTTTACATGATTCTGGAGACGTTTATATCCCTTTGGTAGTTTCTATAAAATCAGTGAAAATATGTTTTGTTCTTTACGTCCAAGTGCGAACATTTCATTTCCTATTAATTTAAATTGTCGACCTTATCCTCCGAATGGTGTGCAAATCAGAGAGGCGAAATTACTTACTCAGATAAGCCTGTACGCAGTTAACTAATAAGGAACAACGCCGACCGGTAAATTGCTTCTCCATTGTCTTTCGTTTATCTCGACTACCAAAGCTTCCGACCTTATTTTTCAACGATAAATATAGAGTTAGGCATCCAGGACTGCACTATTTTAATGGAAATTGTTGATTTTGATGTCATATGGTTCAAAACTGTCATAACAGTATTTACATTCGGGTGTAACTTCTGAACGTCAAGACGGAAAAAGTTCACACGGTGTTCTTTTATTTTGGCACTATCGAGATAATATGTCAGTTAATCAAGGTAGATTGAGCGATTGCAATAACAATTGTTCCTATACGAACACCTAATAAATATATTTACTAGATGCGTGAGCATGCAGACGTTTTTTAGGCCTGCAGAGACTTTTTCAGTTTGATTTGATATGGTTCGTTTTTATACAACTTGTAAATGTAAGAAAAATTTAGAAGATAAATAGATAGATTTCATCTTAGGCCCCTTTTTTAACCTTTAGTTATTGGGCATTGCTTCGAAGGTTAATTAGCTGACATTTACTAGCGCCTTTAACGCCGTAGCGTGTGTAATGCTTCCTTCTTTATGGATATGTCCTTATAGTTCAGATGATACTCTAAATTAAACAAACACCTCGTAAATTTTCAATGTCCAACCACCTTATCCTTTCTGGAAACACGAGGTTCTGCCATTCGGGTTCAGTGTCAGAATGTGCAAAAACCGTTAGCCGGTGGATGTTCATATCTTGAATCCGTACCTAGTCTAATAACAAAGTTGCTGTCGGTTTTCCTAATTTGTCTTTTGTTTTAGATGCTTGATATACAGATAAAGGTGAAGAATTTGTCTCTGGGAAAATTAAATGGCATCGCTCTATTCTGTTCGTATTCATCTTACTGATCCTAATTCTGTGACTTGGGGTCTATTGGAAATGTATTTAGAGCAGCACATATTTACTTCATTTATTTAAAAACTCATAAAACCGCGCCTATGCCGACCGTGTAGACACAGTGAGAAGAAATATTTAGATGATTTCGTTACTGGATGAAATACACAGGCAGCACGTGCCATGCAATGAACTGTACACGTTCATTTCTTCAATAACAATTTTTATAAAGCAATTTTTGTTTTAGTATAAATATTTGATTAAATAAGGAAGCTCAATCTAAACTTAACATTCTGATTGTTGGGCAAAGACGGAGTAAAACATGTCTGATTTTTGCAATTTCAAGTTTGAGTTATGTAGCTTCTAGATACACGGCAATCTGCATTTGATCCGTCCGCAAAATTACTCCACCAAACTCGTCAGGAGAGTTAAGTCTTGTCATACGGATGTCTTAGCGAACTCAAGGTGAGACAGAGTTCCCATTGTCAGCAGAAGCAATCTCTAATATGTATTAAGAGACCAGATCTTTGTTCCTACAACCGAGCCTTTACATCTTATAGCACTTTCTATTAGAGGAGTCGAAATAGAGGGTATCTCTCAGGCTGTCAGGGAATGTGGACTCGTGAAAAATTTGCGGCACTATTTGAAGATGCGCACACAGCTAAAGGATATAAGTCAAAACTTTACTATTCCAAAGTATACACTTTTCTCGGGATTTGTCCCAGTGAATATCTGTACAAAATAGGGCTGAGAATGATATGCGTGTATTGTGTCACTTTTTCAGGTTGTACAGGTCTTTAAACAATTATTTGTTTCCGACCAACCAGTAACATCCGCGAACTCATGGCACTCATCTGAGATCATGCGTTTTTTATGTCTGAGTTGTCATTTCCAGATAAACGGCCCAAATTATTGTTTTAGGCAAATTTGCGCGTGCAGCTGCCACCAGCTTGTCTTGTTTGTCTGGTTTGAACCCATTCTGAAACGGTAGGCGTGAGATCGCACGAAACATTAGGTGGAATTTTTAAACGTTATCTCGTTTTGAAATGACAGTTTAGTTAGGATTGCAAAACGGATTATCATACTGTTGAATCCAAAGTGATTTTTGTCAAACCAGCATGAAGGCTTTCTAATTCGCGTTCTTTCGACCTTCTGCAACAACCGTAGTTGCCTGGGCGAAGACGTAAGCAGTATGGTCAGTTAACCCATTTTTCCATACCTTCATACAGCCCAATATGTTCTAAGGAGGATGTAAACAAGCGTATCCTTACTTGTACGCATCGTGGGGTAAATGACGTCTTTATATTCCTTCCTTGAAGCAAGGATATCTGCCGGAATGATTTTGCGATCGACTTGTCGTTTTTAACAAGCTGTACAGGTCCATTTAAGATAAGTCAGACATTCCTCTATGTGGTCCGGGAGATAATGCGTATGACTAATAAAATTTAACGATGGATACGGACTGCGTCGTAAACGGAGTACTTAAACATATAGAGACAATGCTACCTGAGTATACATTCAACGATCCTGACAATCTTAACAATTGCAAACCATTCTAAAACGAGATCTACTCTTTCTTAAAGTAAACAAACTACTCAAGAAGACATAGTATTTCGAAATGGGTTCCAGGAACAATATTTTTATGTATGTTCTTATGAAATACGTTTAAGTTTAGGGAGCATCGAAACACAATACAAGTTCGCGCTACTTAGGTAGCCGTTTTAAAAGATGTTATTTTACAGGCACCACAAACGGCAATCATTCAAGAGCCGGCAGTCCCATCTTAACAGTCTTCTTAAACCTAGCTCGCTTTTCAGAAGTCCGCTCAACGTCTAATTTACCCCTATTTGCTTAAGTAGCTAGACAAGTAAATTGAACGACTCCCTCATCTACTGACTTCTGTGCTCAACGTGACTGAAGGGTTGCTTCGATACAGTCGACAGCCTAGCTCTGCAATTCTCGGATAAAGTATGCTGGGAATCGGCATGAAATGAAATCGGGGTATTATGTGAAGCCTCAACATTCGCTCCCAATTTGTATACTGTTTTCTGTAGCGTGCTCAGCCTTTTTGTAGAAGTTTTGTATACTAACCAGCTCAGCATCAAACGGCGATGTATAGAATTTAGTTTAAATATTATTTTGATATGGGTTTCTTCATGTCACCAAAGCTCCCTGCGTCGAGCATCTTGTTAGTCTGCGACAATCTGCAAGGAGTGCTTTTTGTTGATTCAATTCGGTAGTTGGTAAACTCCCTGGTCCGGCTTTTATAAGTACCAAGAGGAGATAATTGAGGTCCTCTGTTGCTGGCAGAAACTCTTCCTTCCGAACATTCTTACATCATTCGCTGGGCAGGCCTGCGAAGTTTAGTTATGCAGCAATTATTGTAGTTATTTTAGCCCAGGGTTGTTTCACGTTGATTGGTTGAGAGCGAATTTTTCACTAAGAACTATCTGTTATTAATGGATGATTGAGCAGGCAGTTTCTAGACAGTATGCATTGCAATAAGCTGCTCGTCTTTGACTAATTTTTTTCATCAGCCGACCATACCTCAACTTAAGTCCCGCATATCTGAGGTTTTAACTGAGTTTAGTTGTCCTCTACGAATATGAGTCAACTACTCTGGTACCTTAGCTACGGGCCCATGCCATGTCGGTCGCGGTTAGGAACATTTAGAGTCGTCTTTAAGTGACTCCCATCCAGCAGATTGCAGGATGGAATGCGGATGATCTCAGTCGAGAGCCACCGCAGCGGGTCGCCTAACGATGATCAACTAGTCAATCCAAGTGCTGCCAATGGTGGAAACTGGAGTATACGTTTATTTTTTATACTCTCGCAAGGCCAATACCCTTTATGTAGGAGCGGTGTGCAAGTAAAGCGTATGAATAATAAGAGGAGTCGAGTAAAGTTAGTCTTTTCGGAAAATTATGATGTGGGAATAGGGGCTACACAATAAGCGGCAGTGACGGTTAGAAAGCTCGGAGAAGTGCAAGCATTTACTCGACCTTTGGGCACGGTAAGCGCGGAGCTTCTGTGGGCACAAGATTGCCTTCCGTGACCTGACGGCGGCCGCTTCTGCTATTGTTAGTGGACGCTGAATCAGTCGCCTTATTGTAGTTCGGTTTGACCTTATAACTTACGCGGTAGGCTTCGTTCGGGCCCACACGATACCTTAAATTAATCATGCGTGTGAGAATGACGCTGTCTATGCCCCTGCTTTCACACTTTCCTATCATATCGAGAGGCGTTGTCGTATTATTTGAATAGGCGCCGATTATTTCGGCAGAAATGCAGTCTTTCTGAATCCTTCCGCCGAAATATCCGCAAAACTGGAACTGGGGTGGTTGTTTCTGGTCTATTCGTCGTCGTCAGCCAACCAGATCCAAACCCCATTCTTTGGCCTACCATGCGTTTTAATCCGGTCCAGTTGGGTATTGGACGCTTGAGTCAAACACTACCACCTGATCCGGGTGTTTAATGCAGAATTGATCCTGAGGCTTGCTAAAGCACTACTGGAAATTAACAACCCACATAGCTTGAAAATCTTGTTTTTATGACCTTTTTTTCTATTAATATGCATGCCGCGGTTTTTAAGGGGCTGATGAGAGAGTACATGTCAACCTTCTGCACACGATGCTGGTATAGTCTTTATGTTTACCGTCAATGGTCTCTGCTATAGGATAATCGCGTCGGGATTCGAGAAGTCAACGACAGAGTTCTAAAAAACTAGATTTGCCCCTCATTAGTTAAAGTCCAACCCGCTGTGGAAACGGACTGCCATCCACGTGCATATGCTGTGCGTGTCAACTTGTAGTGAAAGGGGTTAAATGAGATCTAACCAAAACTGACTTATCTTAACACTTTTCTGTTACTTAATGTTTTAAGTAGAAACAAAATGTACTTCTATTTTCACACTCCAGGTTCTCCCGCCCCTGATTGACGTCCTGCCCGAGGCTCGCTTAAATCTGATCATTTACCACTTGAAACGTGAGGACACTGAAGCTGCCTATGACCTCGTCAAGGATGTAGACCCGAGCACGCCGCAGGAGTACGTTCTCAAGGCCATCGTTAACGCCGTGCTGGGCCAGGAGCAGGGTTCACGGGAGCACCTCAAGGTAGCCCAACAGTACTTCCAACTGGTCGGTGGCTCAGCCAGCGAGTGCGACACCATCTCCGGACGCCAGTGCATGGCCTCCTGTTTCTTCCTCCTCCACCAATTTGATGATGTCATCATCTACCTGACATCCATTCAGAGCTACTTCTACAACGATGACATCTTTAACTTCAACTTTGCCCAGGCAAAGGCCGCAGTCGGCGCCTACAAGGAGGCCCAAGAACTCTTCCTGCTCATCCAATCAGAACGCATTCGCAACGATTACATCTATCTCAGCTGGCTAGCTAGGTGTTATATCATGAACAGGAAAGCACGCGCGGCTTGGGAACTGTACCTCAAGATGGAGACCTCAGCAGAATCCTTCAGCCTGCTCCAGCTCATTGCCAATGACTGCTATAAGATGGCACAGTTCTACTACGCGGCTAAGGCCTTTGACGTGCTCGAACGTCTCGATCCCAATCCCGAGTACTGGGAAGGCAAACGGGGCGCCTGCGTGGGTGTCTTCCAGCTGATAATTGACGGCCAGGAGCCGAGAGAGACGCTGCGAGAGGTGGTTCAGATTCTGCGCAATACCAACAACCCCCAGACGGAATACTTTATCCGCATCATCAAGAAATGGGCCAAGGAGAACAGTGTCGCCCTCTAGCCGGTGAAGCCAGGCAAACCGAAGTCCTCATTCTGCCCTCATCAAGCACAGCATTTACCCTACCCCAGCTGTCTTCTTTGGGTCTAACAGTTTCTCCGGCTGTGCGTGTAACTATATTTTTGAAAGATGAAGTTGTTTTTTGAGATTACTCTATTCCTGGGCGAGCTGCAAGGGACAGTTAGTAAATCACTCCTCCCATTTCCCTCGGCATCGTTTGCACCTGACACTGAAGGCGCGTGTCTATCCAATTCTTTTACAAATCGGTGAGACCAGATGCGTCGCCTGGAACGAATGTGTTGTTCGCCCTTCTTCGAGTCATTCGTGTTTTGCCTGCCCTACGTCAGCCCAGTGGTACGGCCTCAATAACCGTCCATCCATTCAGTTGGTTTTTTACTCAACCTGCTGCCCTGGGACTTTATTCATCTAAACCGACCCAGGCCAAAACATGGACCGGGCACTTGGCCCATAACGTGGATATTTGGCATTGACTTTCATGGGCTAATGGCAAAAATGTAAATTTTGTTAAGATTTGTAATGATACCCACGCAAACATTGAAGAAGTAGAGTTCTACGAACGTACGTTTTCGATTGTTCATTCTCAGGCCTGTATAGTAATATAAGTTGAGGTAATGAAACGAAAGCTAAGACTTGCTCCTGTGAGACAGGTTACTCTGTTCGAACGACTGCGCGCCTATCCAAGCGGATGCGAGAGCACCATCCTGCCTAGCTAAATCAAAGCATGGAAGTCTATCTCTCTGTCTAGCGCAACTTACCTCACTTGGTTGGCAGCGACCACCAGGAAGACGTTAACCGAACATCCCGAGTCAGCGGATACTTGCGACGGCGGCAGCAGTAGCCACAGCGTTGGCCAACTCAGTCTGTTCACAGAAGACATTCATACAAGCCTTTAAACTACCCTGAGCCAAGATGAACCTAGCCTGTTCCCTCCGCGCATCACTGCAGCTGCAAAACTTATGTATGGTTCACCGTCAGACTCCTCCCCATGCCTCTAACAGGACAGACATGCCTGGACGCCTTTAACTTTTGCTACCTTACCCTAACTTATACTGCTGCACAGGCCTGCGGATTAATAGCCAAAAGCATAAGTTAGCCGAAGAAGACACGATCGCTGGGACAAGAGCTATAGTAGCCTGACGTTTCGGATTCCTGCTCGAATCCATCATCAGAGACAAAAGCAGATACCGGTGTTTCACGCACAAGGGGCTGCAGTATTTATAGGATGCAGTCGCCATGCTACCACATGCCTATGAACATTCACGGCCCCCTCCCCTTCATCAGGGATCGTTGCACTTGGTGTGCTAATTGTTTGATGGCCGACATTCGCGTCGTTAATTGCAGCAATTTCATCACATGCGTTGGATGTTGGTGTGATGATTGCTCGACCATCTGACGCACCGACCCCGGTGTTGGGAAAAGTGTTCACATGTGCGCTGCCCGCGTGGCTACTTACTCCGCCTAGACGAAGTTTCAGCACCAAGTATGGAAGGGGAAGATCATCCCACTTGTTAGTGGACTGGGAACAGTAAACCATGATTCGAGTGGCTCCCGACTCAGGTCCGCAATCCATCAACAAGCGCAATGACTTCCCGGTATCATATTCAGTGCTGAGACATTCCCTGAGCAGGGGACCCTAAGCAGGGGAATCAGTCATGTGGGGAGGGCGCGGGGGATCAACTATCCCGGCGACAGCGGGCCAAATGGCCGAGTAATCATCACGTCAACATCCAACACGGATGATGGAATTGCGGCAATTAACGATTCGGACGCGGACGGACGAGATACCACCGCCTTAATTACGACCCCCCGCTGTGATCACGAGAGATGTTAATCATAGTACGCATCTGACACCACGGCAGCTACGTGCTATAAATGCCGCACTCTTTGTGCCGCCATTACCTTTATCTGCAACCGTCTCTGATGATGGGTTCGAGTGAGAATCCGAAACGTCAGGACAATAAACTTCTTGTTCCAGTAATCGCTTCTTCTTCTAGTTCTCCTACAGTCCAGCCGAGGAGGGAACATTAAAGGCTGCTAGGATCCTAGAAGCGCGGGTAGATGCGGCTATGATATTGCTTTAATTAACAAAGTGACACATCAGTAGGATACCCTAGGGAGCGCGCTGACTAATCACATCAGACATCCTTAAAACCGAATACCACTCTTGCGAGCTGGCGTCATTTCTCCGTACCGCTGCAGCGTGTTTGGCAATTCTCGTTCGGAGCTGTCTTCCGCTGTCTCCGACGTAGTTATTCTGTCCGAAACTGCACCAGATCCGATAAACGACTCCAGACATTTCTGGCCGTGGCAGTGGGTCTTTTGGTTTCATTACCAGACGTCTGATGGTTGCCTCCGGTCTGTGTGCATCTCCAACCCCAAGTGGTGCGAGAAGGTGGTCGACAGCTTCCAAAACGTTCTTGACATATGTAAGCGCCCGCCGAGATTTGGTGTCCGTGCGGTTAGGCCTTTCGTTCCTTTTGCGTATGCACCGGTTGACAAAGTTGCGCGGGTATTCATTGGCTTTGAAGACCCGTCGGAGGCGTTGTAGTTCAGCAATCTTGTCTTCCGGTTCACTACAGTGCGTTTCGACACGCCGATAGAGCGTCCATACACAACTGCTTTTGGAGCTGATTGGGTGGTTGCTGTTGAAGTTCAGTACTCGCGTCGTATTTGTCGCTTTCCTGAACATTTTGGTCTTTAGTCCACCACAATCTTTGCGGCATACGAGGACATCCAGGAAGGCGAGCTGGTTGTTCTCTTCCTCCTCCGTCGTAAATTGAATGTCCGGGAAGGCGGCGTTGAGATGTTATTTGAATGTCAGAACTTGATCTCGTTCGATGACAACGAAGGTATCATCCATATACGGGGCCCATACTTCTTCAAGACCACATCCTGGGACTCGTCTCTCCGCTTCCATTGATGAGTTAGCCGAATTTGACTCCTTCAAAAATGTCCCCAGTACTTCGCGGGGGAAGAATACGTAGTTGGGTCGAACGCGAGGGTCGTCAACCGGATAGTGGAAACCGGAAATTTGTAAACAATATTTGAGCCATCCCCGCCGCGTGTGGTCTTAACCTAAGATCGGTCCTGGCTCAAATCGTGTTCAGCTGGAGTCAGAGGCGTATGCAACAGTTTTTGATGACTGAAGTTCCAAGCAGCTCTCGACACCTTTGTCGAATGGCCGCGCCATCATCTTTGTGCCAACGAAATAGGGCGGCTATCCTTTCTCTAGGGTGTGGGGGGGGGCTTTGAACAGTGACTCACCTCCTTCTCTGGCGGAGTGTCCTCGCTTAATTGTGAGTCTTCTTTAACTGCTTAGTGCAGGTGGGCGAACTCGACCAGCTAGGGGGGAAAGGCGGGACCTTCGTGTCTGCATTTGAGATCTTCGATATGGCGGAGCAACTGCGCCTTTGCTCCGCGTGACGCTCCAGTAAAACAATTCGGATCAGTCATAAGTACAAGGAGGGCAACCTTGTGAGCCGCGAGCTGCTTGAGTCATGGTTCATTGGCCTCCAGTCTATTAACAAGTGTAACGACCTTCCCCTTCCATACTCCGTGCTGAGACTTCGCTTAGGCGGAGTCATCAGGCACGCGGGGAGCGCACAGGCGAACACTGTTCCCAGTCTCCATTGTCCTTGTCGGTAATATAGTCCTGCCTATAACATGCGCCGCTGTGCGGCTGCTGGTTGGGCTCGAGAGAGAGCCCATAAGGCACAACGGGACGAGTGAGTTCAGTAGAAAAGGTCGGTGAGCGCCCCCCTACCACTGTACCCAACGCCAGGGTCGCCGGGTCACATGATCGAGCAATCATCACACCAGCATCCAACACACGTGATGCAATTTCCGCAATTAAAGACGCGAATGTCGGTCATCAAACAGTCATCACACCAAGTGCAGCTACCCCTGACAAAGGGGGGAGCCGTGAATATTCGCAGGCATGCGGTAGCAGGGCAACTGCATCCTATAAATACTGTAACCCCTTGTGCATGAACCACCCGTATATGATGACGGGTTCGAGCAGGAATCCGAAACTTCAGGCGGATAAAAGTTCGTGTCCCAGCAATCGTGTATCCTTCGTCACGAGGGCGTATATGTTGATGGCGTCATTAAGACTTAACGATAACTTGGAAATCACCTCCATCACGGTCTATCGGGAATAACGAATGGAAGGCCTATCCAACATTTTAAACTATGGCTACGACAAACAGCAGAACCACAGAGGCTACAAATAAAACATGGGAGGCTTGGGAAAAGAGGAAATACAACTGAAATTTCTTTATCAACGAAACAGACGAGTAGTGACCCGCTGATCGGAAGAAAGTGTTTAAAAATATAGTTTGCCTAAGTGATCCAGTTGCTCGCAGGAGTTGTTCCCGACCTGTTCGCAAACGAATGACACATGAAAGCTATTTTGGAGTCAATGAGATGTCTGCTGTCTCAGCAGACACTCGATAACGATGGAATAGCGGTGCAGTTACCCGGTACCTTAAGGTATTTGTGCGTGTAATGAACTCATCTGGCTGCTATTTATCTTACAGTTCTTCCGATATACTTGCACCTGCACAAACATCTTAATCAGTATATTACGGAAGGGAAAATTCTGAAGTCGCAGCCCTTTCAAGGAGAATGGGGTTTCGTTCTTTATAAGGTTAGACATTCCTACCCCAGTTATGTATTTCTACATAGTTTAGTAAATCGATGGATCCAAACTTAATGTATTGTTGATCCTTGCTGCCCAAGTCCAAGGACGTTTCAAGCATCCCAACAAGACTTTAAGTATGTTTAACTAACTTGGCCTCTGATTAAGGTAATTTCGCCAGAGCACATCTTCCTATTTAGTGTGCAGAGACTTTTGAAGCCTGCGCTTGGGTAACAGTGAGTCACTTTTAAATGTCACCTGTTGTTGGAGGCTTCAAATGTGCCCTGGTTCTTGGACTAGATGCGGCTCTTACGCATTATCCCGGGGACCTTGTGGTATGTTATATAAAGGCGAGCGGTCAGGCATTGATGAACCTTGCCTATGGCAGTTCGATTGCTGCATGATAGCCGCAGAACGGTGATTTACGTGTGAACTGGTTTATAAGTGTAGCAGGCTTTTGCAGCATTTTCCACGACCTCTCCTTCCTCACTCACCCATGTTGAGCGACAAGACAGGGTCAGAACGATCGGGGGCGGACACGAGCGCGGTTGCTGACACACGAAAGTTCTTCTTCTCTAACAGAGTGCTTGAAGTTTGGAACGCCCTGCCTCCGGATGTCATTATGTCTGCTTCCGTCGAGGTGTTAAAAGGAAGCTGGATGTGTATAGCAGTGTCCACTAAATTACCACCCGACCTCTGTAATCTTGACAAATTCTGTTGTTATAATACTACTTGCTATATTTCAGTAACATTTTAATTTCTTATTGCCTCCAACCCACCGCCTACGCTTACTGACATGCATCTATGCAACTTTTGTCACTGGGTATATTGTTTATTTCCCTACACTCGAGACGACCGCTGTACTACTGTTCGTACCACTAACACTCGAGACAGTTTGCTTATCTGTACAGAGTTTACGCTTTTCCGATCATTTGTTACCTTTATGATACCTTTTCCAGTTTTTGAGATTTTTCAGTTACTTGTAAACAAATAGGGAGTTCAGAGGTGAAGACCCACATCTCCCTCAATAAAACTGAACTGAACTAAAAAAAGCTGAGCAGCCCATCTGCGCGTACAACACACGACCTGGTCCCAACGTAATGTGTTCGCTGCTAAACGGACCACAGCTCTGAACTTTCAAGTTCAAGGAAAATGTAGCCGGTCAACAGCAAGGCAGACTTAAGTTTGCCGTAGTACTCAACCTCGTAACAAACCTCTATATGTTGGTGAATCGCACTTTACGGCCTGCTTTCGGCCAGGAAGAGGCCCGGTCGATGGATCGGAAGAAAAGGCTGATGCCGTTTATTTGTTTGTGAGCCTCTTGAGTTGTGCGAAATGTCGAACAGCTAGAATTACTCGCCAATCAGGTGCATCGTCTTTTCATAACTGCTACGTGTTATGACCCGGAAGGAAGGTAGGACAGGAAGAGAGCCGGTTCGGAGGACAAGCACCTTATTGGAACTTGCGGACAGGAGGGGGTTACAGCTCGTAAGAAAGGTGTGCTATTTATATTGGCTCCCGTGCGTTCTAGAGCATTCCGTCCAATGAAGTGCCAGCCGTTGAAAGCGTTCTAGAATGTTCCTGCCCCGAGCGTGCTGGTCGCTGATTGGCCACCGCGTGCGCGATATTCCCCCCCCCGCAGAAACGTCTGAAATGTTCGACCAGCCATTGATTGGGCCGCACACGTGAGCAAAGCCACCACGCGCGCTCGGCGCTGCAGTGCGTGCCGGTCGGTCGTCTAACTTCCCGCGTGACTCACGTCGCCGGCGTGGTCCCCTGTTTAGCGCCTTAGGCCGTGGCTCTACGCCGCTATCACTCTCCATAACACCTCCCGCTTTTGAAAGTTGGACCTCGTACCTCTTCTTCTTCGGGTCCAAGACCAGTTTCCCTGGCGGTTGCGTTCTTCTGCTACTTCTACGAACGACGGGTAATGTTGTCTGATTGTCTACCCTGGGGGTTGGATCCTCAAAGGTATCACACAGCAGGTCGAGTGCCATTTGACTGTCTTTGGTGTGTCTAGTCCTGAGCTGATTTGCATGCCTCTTTATCCTTCCAGCTGCTGTCTCCACCTCTAACACAACACCTCTGGATTTTCTTATTATGCCTTCTATCCAGGGCTTCTCTCCGGCTTTGTAGTTGCGAGCAAACACCTCCTCTCCCTCGCGAAAGTACTGTTCTGTTGTTTGTCGAATTCGAGCTTCCGGTTGTAGGTACTGTAATCGCGTATCCGGCTGTCGTCCCAAAAACCGTTCGGCTGGTGTCTGGCCCCCAAGATCACTTTTTGGAGTTGTTCGATAGGCAAAGAGGAATGTGTTGAGATACTCCAGTTGAACACCTATGTTCCACATATTTTTCATCGCTCTCTTGAACGTGTCGACGAAACGTTCTGCCTGGCCATTCGATTGTGGATGGAATGGTGGTGACGTCACATGTCGAATTCCCCATTTATGACCCTGTTGTCGGAAAATTGATGACGTGAACTGAGTGCCGTTATCCGTCACAATCTCCGTGGGGATGCCGTATCTCGCTATTAGTTCTTCCGTCTTCCTTGCCGTGATATCAGCAGTAGCTGCCGAGACGTCGAAAACTTCTAGCCACTTGGACCATGCATGGACAACTATTAGAAACCTTCGGTTGAAAAACGGACCCGCAAAGTCCATATGGACTCGACTCCAAGGTCTCGTTACCTCTGGCCATGGCACGGGCGGTACTCTCGGTGGGTTCTTAGCCTCTCGTCCACACGGGCCGCAGCTTCGAACGAAAGATTCCACGTCGTTATCAATTCCCGGCCAATATACGTACTTGCGGGCCAGTTGTTTCATGTGGGTCATACCCTGATGTCCGGCATGGAGCTCCCGCAAAACTTGTTACTGATGTCTGGCTGGGATCACCACTTTACCATCGCACATTATGCTGTCTTCCGTGATATACAACTGTTCCTTTCTGTTCCTGAAAGGCTTTATCGATGGGCGTACTTTGTCGTCGCTGGGCCAACCGTTCCGCATAAACTCTTTCACCTGGCGCAAAAGTGGGTCTGCTGCAGTGGTGGCCCTGATGTGCTCGGCTGTGAGCGGCAACTGTCGGATAACACCTCTAAACTCGTCATCATCTTGCATTAGCGTACTGGCGACAACCACGTCTTCTTGATTTTCTTTGCCTGTACTCAGTCGTGATAAAGCGTCCGGAGCTCCAAACTTCTGAGTGGGCACATATTGGATCTGAAAGTCATAGTTTTGAAGAATAGTACTCCAGCGTTGTATTCTCCTAACTACGTTCTGGGGAACACCACGGTTAGTACCCAAAAGGACCTTCAGTGGTTGATGATCAGTGTGCAGTGTGAAGGGTCTGCCATAAATAAACAGGTGGAATCTCTGTACGGCGAAGATAATGGCCAGTGCCTCCTTTTCGATCTGGCTATAATTCCGTTCTGCCTTCGTCAGTGACCTGGCGGCATGCATGATTGGCTGGACTCTCCCATCTGCGTCCTTCTGAAGGAGCACTCCGCCTAAACCGTAATCAGAGGCGTCTGCCTGGACAATGGTTTCTTTGTCAGCCTCGAAGTGCGATAGCATAGTTGAGTCGCATATCTTTGTCTTTACGGCGTCAAATGCGTTTTGACATTCTGGCGACCAAACAAACTCCACGTCCTTGCACAGAAGTCGGCTGAGTGGAGGTTTTAAACTGTACAACCCAGTGATGAAGGGGCCGTAGTAGCTGACCAACACCAAAAACGATTGCAGCTCCTTCGTGTTCTTCGGCACTTTCATGTTCTGGAATGCCTTCACCCTCTCTGGGTCAGGTGCACGCCCATTCTCGTTCACTATAAACCCGAGTTAGTGGATCTCCTTCCGCAAAAATTCACTTTTCTCCATATTGATCTTAGGGCCGTAGTCGATCAGATTGTCCACAACCTGGTCCAGCCTTTGATTCAGCTCTTCCTCTGAGCTACCGACAACCAAAATATCGTCCAGATATGCAATAGTCCCGGGAATATTCATAAGCATCGTATCCATAATCTGCTTGAACACACTAAGCGCCGTTTTCACGCCGTAGTTTATACGAGTGTATCTGAAGAGACCCTTGTGCGTATTTATGGTCAAAAGTTCCTGCGATTTCTCGTCCACCTAAATTTGCAGGTAAGCTTCGGATATATCGAGCCTTGCAAAGACTTTCCCTCCATTTAGAGTAGCAAAAATCTGCTCTTAGGTTGGCAGCGGGTAATGATAATCTTCTAGTGCGTCGTTCAGGCCCGTTGAATAATCCGCACATAATCGTATTATTCCGTTGGGTTTCTTCACCGCCACGACTGGAGCAGCCCAAGCTGAATAATTGGTAGGATAGATTATGCCCTTTGTCTGTAGTCTTTCTAGTTCAGCATCTACGGACGACTGTACCGCAAACGGGACTCGTCGGCTCTGCTTGAAGACCGGCTTTTTCTCCGGCTTCACTTTCAAACTTATCTTCGTCTTCGTGCACCTGCCAGCCGCGTTCTCCATGCGTTCCATATACTTATTCTTCAGGACCTCCTCAGTAGTGTTGTGCACCGCGCTGCAAATTTCGTCAAAGGGACCGTTCCCCAATCCCAGTTCGGAGATCGTCTTATTTCCGAGAAGATTGTTATGGGTCTTCAACACATAGACATCTGCGAGGCAAGTCATGTTTCGAAAACTGACAGTCGCCTGGAAAACGCCTTCAAATTCCATACGCGTCTCGTTCGACGCCCACGCTATGATCTCTGATGGTCTCAGTTCTGGAGAACCGATGTCCTCCCATGTGCGCATGTTGATTATGGCCAGATCAGAAGCTGTGTCTACTTGTAATGTGGTCGGCTTTTCGTTTATATTCACTGTCAAGTATTTCCGGTGTTCGCAGTTGAGTACTTGCAAATCGTCTTCTAAAACTACATGACAATTCTTTCTTGGGCTAGTGTGCGCTGCTCTGCAATGTGAAGCTTTATGGCCAACACGGGAACATTTTTAGCACTTTCTACTACGATAGGGACATTCAGTCACGTAATGCCAGCCGCCGCACAGCCAACAAGCCGTCTTTGGCTTCCGTGGAGAAACTCTATTTGGTTGTGGTTGTCTCGATTTTGTGTCGAAAACGTAAACTGGCTGACTATTTGTGCTTCCAATAAGCCGGGTGTCTTGCTTGATATTTGTGATTCGGACACATTCCTCTGCCAGTTCCTGTACTGCCAATAGAAGCAGTTCCTGTACTGTCATATCGCCTTTCTGGTCTAGCTGGGCGAGTAACCGCGTGCGCACATCTGCATCTTCTGGCAACGTCAACGACTTAATGAAGATTAGTGCTTTAATCTGTGTGCTGGTGGCCTGTTCTAGCTCGGCTTGTTGAAAAGTATCATTAACTCGACCGGCCAAGTCAAAATAGTCTTCTTCAGGCTTACGTTCTAGCTTGAAACATTCATAACGTCGATTGAATAACGACTTTGTAAAACAGAACAATGCTTTCAGATGCTTGACTGTGTCCTTAAACGAGACATCTGATGGTTTTTGAGGCAGAATGAACTTTACGCACCGCTCGTGTTCCCGCTGGGCCAGTTTTAGCAGAATGATTTCCACTTTCGTCTTGTCGTCCAGTTCTGCTCCCTTCTCTTCGAACAGTCCTTCGTACTTTCGAAACCAGGCTTCGAAATTTACGCCTCCCTCTGGATCGTAAACGAACTCGTTGATCCGTTGTTCGACCTGTTTCCTCTTGTTCTCTCTGGATACCGGTCCCCAATTTAGTTGCATTTCCGTGAGTAATGCCATGAAGCTGGCCTGCTGGGCCTCCAGTATGTGTTTCATTTGTTCTTCTGATACCATTTTGCTGCACCTGCGTCGCCAGTTGTTATGACCCGGTAGGAAGGTAGGACAGGAAGAGAGCCGGTTCGGAGGACAAGCACTTTATTGGAACTTGCGGACAGGAGGGAGTTGCAACTCGTAAGAAAGGTGTGCTATTTATTGGCTCCCGTGCGTTCTGGAACATTCCGTCCAATGACTTGCCAGTCGTAGGGGGCGTTCTAGAATGTTCCTGTCCCGAGCGTGCTGGTCGCTGATTGGCCACCGCGTGCGCGATAACCCCGCCGCGGAAGCGTCTGGAATGTTCGGCCATCCATTGATTTGGCCGCACACGTGAGCAAAGCCACCACGCGTGCTCGGCGCTGCAGTGCGCGCCGGTCGGTTGTCTAACTTCGCGCGTGACTCACGTCGCCGGCTTGGTCCTTTGTTTGGCGCCTTAGGCCGTGGCTCTACGCCGCTTTCACTCTCCATAACAAATATCGTTAAGAAAAACAACAACTGAAGAGTACATGTGCGATGCAAAGAACAAACCTTTAACGCTAAGGAGTTTCCCTTCAACTTTTTCTTTATGCCCTTAATTTTCATGCCTACCACGCCGGAAAGATTGCTTCTTTAGGCTTTTTTGTATCCCACAATACTGTTACTGGTATATTTCTATTCCTGTCGCCACTTACAGTTTTGGTTAGATTTCACGATAGGAATTCAGTCTCAGCACATTTTACATTTTTTTGTCCGCCGGCATCATATCAGCTACCGCGGAATAACCGCGTAATATTCACAATCCGCCAACGGGCGGCCAGTGGTTCTTTTGCCAAATAAGGGAAAAACATCAAGGCGCTGTAGACATTCGTGGTGTTAATAGTAAAGTTCAGGTGCCTGGCGTCTCCAACACTAACGCGCTCACGCATCAACTTATAGCGACCTCGTCGCATGCCACGTCGTGCGACCTCGTCGCTTGCCCCCGCAGTCAACAGCTGATTGGCCGCCGGTTACTAAGTGACGACTGCAGTCAGCAATCCCGGGCTGTCTTTCTGGTCGCGCATATACGTTGCGCGCGGGCGACAGTGTGGATAATCCTGCAGCTGCGTTCTCTGGTGTCGCCAGCATCTCTGCATGTACGCAAGGCTTTTCATGGCTTTGGTTGTTTTCTTTTTTTCATGTTTTATTTTATCCAGTTTTCCGCTGTATTCTGTCTAACCCTTTGAATCATGCATCGGAAAAATAGAAAATACAATTCGAAGTAAAAAAATATCTCGCCAAATAGAGGCAAATGATAGAAGATGGTGTAATTTGTCTTGTCCACCGCAATAAAGTTAGTCATAAGTAGCCGTTCTTTCAAGGCCATCGATAACGTTTACAAAATGCTCATTGCCGAGGCTCTAGGAGGTCTCGACCCATCTACTACCGATCGCACCTAATCCGTTCTGCGGACACTGCCGATGAGTGGGCACGGTCAGAAAGCACGGAACTCTCCAAAGTCCATCACGGACCGGTCGGGCGTTGTTTAAGAACCGCATTCGCCCGCAATAGAGGCTTCATTACAGATGAACGGGCCTGCAAATGTAAATCTGCAATCACAGTACGTGGAGAATTTGAGAAGTGTAGTCACATGGTTCCACGTATACGGCCTTTATCTGAATCCGAAGGGGGTTTCTGGCTCTAAGGTCTCCGGTACTTCGAAGAAAATGACCCCCATAGCGGCGTCAAGGTTCCTTCCACCGTGGAGGCCCCTCTGCTGCATGTGAGATCCGGGCGTTCTATCCCCTGCACGTGCAATCCTGGTGTGTGCTTTTTGGGAGTGGGTCTTGCAGGCGGCACGCGTAGACGAGTTATCTAGTTTTGTCATCTACTGCGCCCATTCACAGCACCAGCCATCTGACCGCCTCGGACAGTATTTGGGGCCTGGGCAGTGGGAACGAGAGTGAGATCGATGACTCAGTGCCTTTTCTTCACTACAAACAATCGGACGCGCCTGCAGCTATCACAATACGCTAAAAGTCGTAGTTTAAAGGACCGCCACCTGACTGGATAATATTGACCTCACAGCCAGCCCAGTGAGTGTTAATGTGGAGTGGCCGACTGGTGGAATGAGAGTCAGGCTTCAATAACTCCTTCTCAATGTGTCCTCTATGGCACACTCACTTAGTGGGGTCAGAGCCAGGTGTGGCGGCATCCCTATGGGCAGCTCCGGTCGCGCCTTTCACCTGCGGTCAGTCCCGTCTTCGGTATCTTTGACTTGGTCGTGACACCGGGTCCATGTGGGGAGGAAGAGATAGTGTGGTAGACGCTGCGCAAGTCTACTATCGCCACAAACTCATTCACGCGCAAGTCACCGTCCCCGCTCTCACTCTACTGAGGAGCACACGGTGGAAATCGTCGAAATCAACGGTCGAACTGTCGTTATGGCGTTTAGGTAATCACTTATTGCATTTACAAGGCAAACAGAATTGTCAGCGCGGGCAGTAGATTTGGGCATTGTCTATTACATGCCGAACTGTCGACAGCATGTCGCGAGATGACTTTTTATAGGCAGTGCGGGAGAACACGAAGGACAAGGACGTTATTTGATTATTTGAAAGTCAGCACAAAGGAACGCCATGTCCCACGCAGCTCGAACTTCATATCCGGCAATCCAACACGACCTACTCGAAGATTTAAAAAAAAGTTTCTGAATATGAAACTTTTTGAGCTCACGAAGAAGTGTCCATTCATAAAACATCTCATTTCTACATCCATTAATGTTGCTTATAATGTAAACAGTATGGTTCAATCCCACAGTAAAATTTCATGAACTCCATATGGTATCTCCTTAATAGCATATAGAAATTTACGATTTTTCTCTCATGGAAAATATACATCTGGCAGTTTGGAACACCTGGATGCAAGTCCAATGACAGGTCGCGTTAAAAAAATAGGCGGAAATTGTAAAGAAATTTTAAGACCCAATTACACTTTCCCTTCAAGTATAAAATTCGAAGAAGACGTGCTTTTCTGCCAAATTAGGAGAAGAATAAATATCCTGTGCATATTCTCTATAAAATATACTTGAATTTATAGGAGTATCGAAAATCAGTAAGGGGAAAATCGTACTACTTAAGTCGTCGCTTTTACGGAATGAAATTGTTGCAGAATATCGGAAAGAAGCTCGTCCAAAAGCCGTCATCCTGATATGACTGAATATCTTGAGATTATATTGCAGGTTTAGCAATATCACAAGCCTACCTAAATTACCTCTTCGAATCAAGAATAACACTTCAGAATTTAGGGCAACACTTCATGAGATAACGCATCTACAGTAGTGCGTTTATATGATGTGTGTCGACGTGTAACTCAACCCAGGGGAGCAGTCATATGTGGTCTGCTGTGCTTCGCGCGCTTCCCCCTCAGCGATTCCACAAACCAAACCGGTTACAAACTGAAGATTAAGTTGTCGCGTCGCACAATGGGCGCTTGACGGAAAACTCGTGACTGACCGAGGATGTTCACTATCTGGAGCAAAACTGCATATTTAGTCGTGCTATTGCATTTACACATAGACAAACCACGAGCAAAACTATGCATCAGCCAATGGAGGTGTGAGAATCAGGTCCTACACCCCTAAAACGATGTGTCAAACTCGCCCTGGCGTACGGAGCTCTGCGTAATGAGGCGGGAAACCAAACTCCAACCCTACGATTCCTGACTGCCAGCAAGACCGATTCCGATATGCGTAGGAGCGGAGAGAGAATCTGACTGGTTGGTTCACAATTCAAACTGTCCTCTCTGTTTATTAGTGTTTATCTCTCGAACTGATTGGCACGATATTGTGTACTAATTAAATGATATGTTGCGGGTCAGTATTCTGAAGTTCACGCAAGCCTTTTGGTTGTCCATGTCCCGCCCTCGCTGATGGTTTTCTTCTTTATGGCCCGCAGTTGGGACGATGAGACTTCATTTATGAGGTAAGACTGGGGATGCAACACTATGATCCCCTCCGCCACTCCCCGCTGCCATGCTAACGCGAATAAGGGATACAGTTCCAACCCTTATTTTACCTCCCCGTTCACACTACGTAAATATTCCTCGGTATCTGCTATCGAACCGTTGACCATTTCTACATACTCGCTTCAGACGACGGATGTAACGGATTTAAATTCCTTCGAGCCGCTAATATGCTTCGTTAGTGAAAGATCCACACAAGCCTAGTGACAACCGATTAGAAGTCGCCGGGATCTGTGCGCGACCTTGTCGCTTACCGCCGCCAGCGCCAGCTGATTGGCTGCTGAACACAAGTTGTCAAAATCCTTTTGGGCCGTGATTGGCCAGCGTTCGTGTGCGCGCCCGCGTATGGGCGAAGGTTGCGCACATGTAAGGCAAAGAGACCTTTTCCTTCTTCATACCTCTCATCATCTTTACACACTGCCATCATAGTGAGTAATCCTGGGAAAGCCAGTCGTAAGCCAGCAAGTAATTCGCGAAATTTTGTTGTTTTAGCTTACCTAACACATCACCAGATATACTTATGCATGAAAAGCTTGATACAATCAATCCGGAGTGTCCAAAATTGTCAGTTTATTATTCACATATTATATTTTAAGTATTTTATATGTCCAGTGCAAAAGTAAAATTTAATAAATGACTGGATTTGCTTTAGTTTGGTCCTTTTTGGGTAATTAACATGATACACTATGGAGCAAAAGGGAGCTCTGACAGCTGCTTGCAGTGGAAGAATGTAGATTTCACTTCTGACAAAGAAGGCGTGGGACTTTCGGAGAAAACTAATGAGAGTGATACAGCTGCTTTGTAAACCCCGAAATATCGCTCAGGCGGAGGTTTCAAGTTTAAGAAACTATTTTCTACGGCAAGTTTCCTGCGTTCGTCGGGTAGATTTGTGCAATATTCGCAGTTTAAGTGAGTCGTTTTTATAAAAGTTTGCTTTTACAAATGCCAATGCCACAAGCATTCGTGAAGTACTCGAAAATGAGTTCATACATCCTCTATTACGTACTGCAGGAGCAACGGCTGGAAATTAATTACAACCACACCGGCAATCAGACTGTGTATGGGTCTCACTCGTCTCCATTCTTCTCCCCTGACGATGCCCGTGTCTCCACTGTTAAAAGTTTGAGTCGTTTCAAAACTTGAAATCAAATAAAACATTAATTTGCAGTCTTCTCTTTTGCATTTTCCTGTAAAATATGTACTCATTTCTCCCTCACTCAGGTCTCCTTGCTCACACCGCAATTCGCCAACTCGATAACCCGGCAGTCCCAATCGTAGAGGTTTTCAAAGAGCCTTCTGAGGCCTACGTTGCAGTGCCCACCTCCCCCCACTCTAAGTAGCGCGGTTACGCTTGCATGACTTGTGTCCCGTCGAAGAGCATGCCATGTCCCACATAAACCATCCAAACACTGACCGTCCACAGAGGAAGAGGAGGGCATCGGGAATACCGGAATTTCTCAATTTCGACGACGAAGATCCCTCGCTCTGCACGGTGGGTTCCTTTCAGTCAGTCTAATGCCTGCCTAGTCGTCTGAAGATGGCCTTTCAGAAGCTGAGTCCTGGCCAGGGAACCTATTGCCCCTGACAGAACCGGATCCCGGATGTGTACCGGTCGATAATGACAGAAGCCCAGCAGACAACGCTGTTCTCCGGGAACTTCGCAATCTATCAAAGCAGATGGCAGCCTTTGAAGGCAAGGCAATGCTCATTGATTCTAACCTGCTGAACAGACAAAGTACTCAGTAGTATCCGACAGCTCAGCCGACGTGTAGCTCACTTAGAAAGCAAGAAGACAGAAGAAGGTAGGGTGGCTAGTACTAGGCCGCAGAATCCGGTGGAACATCCGCTCAAAAACGCGGAAGAATTCAGACAATTTGATGCAACCCTGCTGGCCGTTGACAATCGACAACAACTGGTAGGCTGCCTTTCTATTACTTGCTGCGGTTCACAGGCAGACTACCTTTCAACATTGGGCGGAAAAGATGTTACCCACTTTGCCAGAAACATCTTTCGTGCTCTGTTTGACAGGCAGATCAGCGCCCAGTTAAATTACTCCGGACAGGGCAAGAAAGTCGGCCTCGAACTGTCGAACGTCTACTCAGTAATTGAAAGTAGGTTTCCTCTTCCAGTACAATCATGTCTGTCTGAGATGTCTTTGCTGACTGGGATGCGGAGCGTAAGCATTCCAAAAGGGATCTCGTAGATTCTATCCGCCGTTGCTTCAAACAGGACTATGATGCCTTGCGGCAGCGGACTAGACGAGCAACTCAGACAATGGATGACCCAGGTTGGTGAACCGTTTATCCCAATGAAACCTCTGCAGCTCATATAGGCACTGCTACGACGGATACTACTCCACGGCCATAAAAGCCTCAGAAGCAAGCTATTTCAGTCGCCGAGTAAATTTTATTTATGCACTTTGCTTTATGCGAATAAAGCCAAACAGAATTTATACAATAGCAAATCTGGTTTTGCTGAAGTTTCACTTATGCAATCCATTGAGGAAGATGGGGATCCTCTAGAGTGCATAGCACTCTGTTACTTCCATTATTTATATTATCCCACAGATGGGTCAATATGAATTATTGAAAATCTGTCAAAATATCTATGAATTACGTGAGCCTGGTAGTCATCTGGTGGATTCTAGGTAAAGTACTTAGGAAATTCTACCTGGACAGTCAACTTACTGCATCAGATTTGATGGATTCCAGACGTTGCAGTAGGTTAGACGGGTAAACTTGACCCAAATGTGATTAAACTCGCGTCGTCCGGCGGGGCCTCGTAGCTCAAGCGGTTAGAGCGTTGGCTGTACTAAAGCCCTCCCCTAACTGCGTAGGTTCGAATACCGCCGAGGTGCCGAGTTTTTCACAGTTGGGTCAATATTAATTATTCAAAATCTGCCAAAATATCTATGGACTTCCAGTATTATCATAGATCGAATTTTTCGTGGGTTTCAAAGCAATATGAACACCTGAATTGATAAACTATCTGCTGTATACTGCAGCAATTCAATAAATACAATCGGGACACTGATCGATATCTCCAAATGGTTTCTTGTTTTGTTGCGTGCGAATCCTTGATTCCTAAAAGACATGCAATAAAAGACTGTACGAAATACGCGTTGAGTTGAAGTTCCTATCTGCATTTTAGTCCTTGGGCCAGTCTGTCGTTCTTGTGGAGTCCACGCACTGTTCACGTTAACGATACTCTGTGAATGGTTAACCAGTCTGAAATCAATCCCTCTTGAAGGCATTTCGTTGTTGCACTGTACGTAACCGTTGTACTAATAGGCCTCCAATATCGGGATCCGTTTATTTTAGGAGCGCAAAACGTTTTGTCTTTGAATTTGTCCGGTCCACTGCAGATGTGGGTCTCTCCAAAGGCCGGAAAGCCAGAACCTCGGGTTGGAGGTTCCCTTCGGAATCCAGGTTTTATTTACTAGGTTTACAAATGCTGATCTTGCTTTCAAGTTAGGCATGGCTACGTCCCATCAACCAATCAATCAGTGTATTTGGAGCAAATGACAGAAACTCTTGAAAATTCCATTCAAACAATACACGCTCGAATGAAAAGCAGTTAAGTTACAAATATTTGCAGGTAACTTTAGTGTGTGAAATGCGTAAGACTTATTGTGAAACAGGAGCGTTAAAAAGTCGAGGATTTCAGAAATAACAGCGAACGACACATTCACTGTACAGTTGGTGACCTAACTCATGAAACGTGTCGAAATCTACGAATGATCACCAATCACTCGCGAACCGGCACCATTTAATGAGTCCAATGTCTATGTTAAGTAAGTACAAGTTTACAAGAACTAAAAGCATGAAAGAAATATTAAAGGCAGTGTTGCATTGCTTAGAAATCCCAATTTATTTTGAACAGTTCAATATCCCGAAAACTTCCGAAATGCCTCTAATTTAGTAAACTTCGTTTTTAAATGTATGGAATGTATTCTCATACCAAAAACGTAGCAAATACGAAAGTGGAAATAAAGTAACGTCTAATAATAGTGTTTCAGTGAAGTTTACATTTAAATGCCGTTTAATAATTGGTGTGATTTCATATATGACGGTTATTCAACTGCCTACCTTCTGACTGTAGATTCCAAAACAGTTTTCCAGGAATTCGTGTTGTCACTGACTCTTTTGAGTTAAATGAGATGGGGTCAACAAATGCGTACAACGGTGTCAAATTTTGTGCAAACAAAATCGGTTACTGTTATCAAAGTAGTAGTATGCTTATAATTAAATCGTCTTATTAGGTGGGTTTTTGAGGACACCTGACCTTTAACCGGCGGGTACCCAGACGCCTCCTTAAACACACGATGGAAGCATTTACGACACTCTTCGGTGAAAAAATGCCATGGTCGAATAACTCTGCAAGAAAAAGTAGGGAGGTTAATTGATGTGACACATTCCGCTTTTAAGTTGGCGATCATGCCGTCCGATATTCGTCTTTGGGTACCATTTGCAGAAGATTTTTCAAATCCACGTCAACATCAAGTTCCATTAGCAACTGAAACGTCCTTAAAAGGTCACCCCTGTCCTGCCTGTAGTAGAGGAGGTAGAAGTTTAGGGCGGTCAGACGCTCACCTTACGTCCTTACTTCAGTTCTGGGACAACTGTCGTAGCACGTTGTTATGCACCTCCAAGAACACCTTTGTCTTTTTGAAGTCACGGCCGCCAAGCTTGTGTCTCATATGCCACCGCACGAAGACCCCACGTGTCTTACCAACGGCATCACCATTCAGATTCTGCGTATCGCATTCATGGTTGGCATTGCCTGCGCAGCGACTTTGGGACACTGCGTTCTTTCGCCTAAGCCGTCTTTGACAAGTACTCCAAAGTCTTGTTGCATATTTATGGTTTTAAGTGGTTTATCATTCAAGACAGACTGTCGCGGAATTATGTGCGTTACTATACATTTATCGACATTGATTTTCATGCATCAGAACAGACACCATGTATGTAGCTTTTCTGGATCCTCTTCCAATATCTGGAAGTGTCCCTCATCCATTATAATCCTACAAAACTTAAGATCACCTGCAAATAGCGCTATATCCGACTTCACTTCCCGTGCTAGGCAGTTGACATGGATAATGAAGAGAAGCAACCCAGGAGCTGACCCTTGTGGTATTAACGTAACAAACACCCTGGCATGTCAAAAGAAAAGGAGGCGTTTACCGGGAGAGGTGCATTGGAGGTCTGACGTTTCGAGTAGTCGTTTCTTCTACCCATCTTCAGAGACTGAGAAGTCGTGCATACAGCTTTCCTTATATGACGCACTTTGTTTGATGGCTGGCCCGCCAATGCCGCCTTTGTGGCTGCACCCGACCCGCATGTTACCGTGACAATACACCTCTCCTGATGAACGCCTCCTTTTGTTTTGATATGCCACCTGGGAATTACATTTTCCCCCTGGCATGTTTTTGAAGGGGCTGACCGCGCTCTACACAGACATTGCTACTTTTCCTGGTAGGCAAGACTGTACGGTGGACATTAAATCCATCTTTTTTGTGATGTGTCTTTTCATGCAACTGAATAACCGATGTAACCATAAGCCCTTCTTAACAGCTCTGCTTCGATCATACCTAACTTTCTGCTTAGTGGCTAAAAAGTCCATTCACACATCGCCATAATTTTTGGATTGCGCTGGTCCCATTTCATCTTCGAGATGGGAGTCACACAAAACTGGACAATTAATAATTGACACAACGTTGGAAAATAAGCTAGAAGTGGCCTTTCTACTCGCTTCTGCACATGTCATTGACAGCTAATTCGAACAAGCCCTAGCTGCAGCGTCCGCGCTGAATGTATATTTTGCTTGTGCATGGTTTGCATGCTGTCCCCTGTGTGTATTGATTGAAAAATCACCTATGGTGGCCAGAAGAATTTTTGTCCAGTAGGTAAAGGACAGTTGTAGTAGCAGGCTGAGCGACGGTAAGGATCGTTGTCAAAAGGATGCTGGAAATCTGTCTGTTCCAGACGAAAAAATAGAGCAAGGCCGTGATTAACCAAGAGGGCCAGCGATGCGACGAAAGAAAACTTCATGGGCAGTGGAGCAGTAAGTAATGTTGAAGACTGAGAACCAGGTTGGAATGGCTCTTGCGCAAAGGGACTTTTATGGTACTGCCACGCACGTGAACGCCGAGTCGCCCTGATGAAGACCTGGTACGTGCTGCGGGGATCAGGTCGTGCGTGACACGCAGCAGACAGACTGCGCTTACCAGAAGAAACGAAGAGACGAGTCCGAGGAAGTAGTCTTGAAGAAAGAGACACGATCACCGGCACACGAGCTTTATTAGCTCGAAGTTTCGGATTCCTGCTCGAACTTGTAGCGGCTCAGTGGTGATGGTGTACGCTCAGTACGTCACAACTTCGAGCATATCCCAGGTTGTTAGAAGCAGGACGCCATTTGGTTAGGACACTTTATTTTGTACAGAATAGTGAAGGTGAAAGTTGGCAACCGGACGAGGATGCGTCCGGCGCCGCAGAGGCGGCGTCCGCGAGAGCGACGAGCCCTGTGTCACCGAAGGTCGCCGCTGCAAAAGTGTCGTTGCAGATTGTTTATTCTATTGTTCTGGACTGTTCCCGCCTGTCTTACCAATCAGCGATAGGAGTTGCGTTGATTGGCTCCGAGCCCACGCGAAGGTAGTGACAAGCCTCGCGTGATGCAGGAAGGAAATCGACCGAATGCGTGATGCAGACAGTGAATTTCAACGAGACAAATCGAAGCCGGGCAGACGTGCGTGCTATAGCAGGCTGTCGCTAGGACGTAGGTGCGGACGTTAGCAAGAGGCGCGGCGTAGCCCTTATGGCTGTCCACTACAAACTCATCATCAGAGACAAAAGCAGATACGGATCAGGCTAATAAAGCTCTTGTCTCAGCGATCGTGTCTCCTTCGTCAAGACTGCGCTTAGTCAGCCAATGCGCCCCAGCCAAACAGCGGCTGTCTTGGTGCTGTCTCCTCACTGGAGCTAGGTAATTGAGGGACGAGAGAGGGAGAGAGTGCAGTAGATGCTGCTCAAGTCCGCTTCCCTATTGATCAATTCATGTGCAGTTCATTGGTGCTGAATCCACTTCATGGAGCGCATGGTGAAAGTCTTCGTTTTCAATGGGGGAACTTTCACGTAAAGCAGCAGCGCCAACGGTATTCTTCCCAGAGTCAAAAGACAGCAATTTAGTCAAAAAGCAGACTGTCTTGTCACCGTGACCCCTCGGTCAGGTTTAACCGAAGCAAAACGCCGGAGACGGCAGTCTAACACGAGCAGTTCAGATGAGTAGTCCGTGCTGGCTGTTACCGAAACCTCCAGGGACACTCGTGGCCAGCATCTCCGAGGATACGACTTTGGTACCAAGCCTTGACG